TGGGTCTTTTCTTTGAAGCTTCAGTTTGGTCACTGGTGATGGTGTGGAGTTCTTGGGTTTGGTCGCAGTCGCCAATGGAGCATGCAGTTTGCGAAGCTCTCTGTTTGTTCAGAGACTATGTAAGCTTGCCGGAATTGGGTTTTTTAAAGGTTATCTCGCTGATGTTTGTTGAAGGACGCTGTTGAGAAAGATGACTCGTGAGGAGTCGTCTAACAAAACCCTAAAGAACGGCAACTTCACATTGCATGAGGTGGTTGTTATTGCAATCAGTTCATACTTTTAGGAGGGTTTAATGCACTTTACTCTAAAATAAAATTATATGTTATTGGCAAAGTTGACAGTGTAAAGATCCAAAGGATTGGTTTAAGTGAGTAAGAACTTCTGAACTTGATTCTGGTGCCTCATAAAGTATTAAGTTTAAAGTTTGAATCCTCTTGGTGCAAACAATTCATCGAGGGGTGTGCGTGAGTTGATAGTGTAATTTAGTCTAATAAAGTCTGGAGAAAATAATATATAAAAATTTGATTAATTCATGTGATTGACTGTAAAATAAATTTTAGTATGAAATTTTTGCTGTTATATAATTTTCACACAATTTTTTTTTTAAACGTTTACGTCTTAATATTTGTATCATGAGGAGTAGATTGTATATTCATTCTACCAACTCTCACTTTCTTGGTGAGCCTCAGCACATTGGCATTCTTCTGAATTGTTGCAAAATACGGAATTTTGGACTTATTTTGCGAAATGATATTACTATTATTATTATTTTTTTCATATTATTATTAAATGATACTATTGTTGAGTAATCACATAAAGGGTTTGTTGACACAATATTTAGTTTGTGTTTATCTCCCCCAAAATGATGTGTGAGGCAATTAATTATTAATCAGCCAAGTAGTCTAATAAATTGAGGACCTGTTTTGCACAGTATTACCATTCATCACAACACATTAATGAAGGTAAAATTTATTTGGTGACGTGGGAATAACATGCCTTTGAATTTATGTAGGAATTGCTATTTCTGTTGTTGAAAAAGATTTTATATATATCCAACGTTGAATTTAGCTTGTATAATTGCACAAAATGAAAAGCTTCAAATTGAAGATCCATAGAAGTGAATATAATTCCCATGATGCCTGTTCGAGAGTCAAGAATTCTATATTTATAATTTTTTCCGCCCAACATAACTAACAACGACTTCCCATAGTTAGATCTTACCTAACATATAAAGTCAATCATAATCCAACTTTTAACTGTAACTATTCAATCTGAATTCAACTCATCCTTTATTTTTAAACTCATCCTTTGCAACTTGAGCTAAGATTTTGGGTTAGTGAGTTATGTTAATTTGGATTACTTATATGACCAATCTCAGCGCTGAAAACTTAATTTGATCATGAGTTAATTTCATATTAAATTACTCTTAAATACAAAATTTTTAATAAGCTTAACGTAAATTTTTTAATAAATTACAAATAGATTGTTAGAGAACTAATACTCCAAAGTGTTAACATGCAATAAATCAAATTAAATAAAGAAAGTTAAAAATAAAAAAATTTGGCTATAATTTGAATATTATATATAATATATTTAAAATTAAAATATATATATATATAAAATATTAAAATTCGAATTTGGACTTTGGTTGCTAGTACCTCAACCCAAATTCAAAACCTTATGAAGTTCATGTTAAAAAATTTCGACCCAGGCCAAACCCTAACTATAAAAATAATTATCCAAATTTGCAAAAATTTGGATTGAGCTCAAGAGAAGTTAGCAGTTCAATCTCCTAGAGGAACTATAAATACATACATATATATATATATACACATACCATGATCAATGTCTTACTTAATTTTGTTTGAGCTCAAAAACTATGATTCTTTCTATTAAATACATATTAAACCGAGTTAATATTGTATTGAAGATGAGAATCCTAAATCAAATTTTTTCTAAGATATATTCTCGTGTAACAAATCAAAATTTGAGAATTTTAAAAAATGCTGCCTCAATGGAGAGAGAGAAGACGGAGAAGAAAATTTTAGAGGCGTTTGACATTTAAACATGGTCGTTCTTTATTTAATTTTTTATATTTTAAATTAAATATTCCAGTTTATGGTGTGTGTTCAATCTTTTACATCAAAATTACTAATATATTGGACCAGTACAACAACCATGGGCCATGGGTATGGCCCATGGGTTGATGTTGATTCTTCCTAATATTATTAATAAATAATGACTCATGACCTACTCTACTGGTTGACTTGGACAAGTCAAGTCCATGATTCAAGTCTTTCTCCGCGAGTCCGCGTAGTGTGAAACTCTATTTATTGAACGAAGAATATGCTGCTTCAACTTGTGATACAAAACAAACTACAAACCTTTTTTATTATACCCATTTGGGACTCAATTTGCTTTTGTATTAATTTGAAACAAAATAAATATTTTGCTATAAAGTATTTTGAATCATAATTAAAAGTATATTTAGTAAAATTAATTTGTTGTAAGGTTGTTGAATTTAAAATTTTAAATACGAGTTTGATAAAATAAATAAAAGAAGTGTTGTAAGTTTTAAAAATATAATGATTAGGTTAAAAATATCGTTTAAGAGTTTATTTATTTATTTATTTTTTACTATTCATCAATATGTAAACATTGCTACAGTGTTAAGACATTTAAACATTGCTACAGTGTTAAGACATGTAAAAAGTTAAGACATGTACAAAAATATCAAATTAGTATTTTTATTTTTAACCACTATTCACGAAATGTTTAGATACCGTGCAAAACAAATTTTTTCTACCAAACATCTTTTTTTTATTGTTCATTGTTATACTACCCGACAAAAACATAAATACAAAATATAATGCATACCAAACAAAGATTAATATTTTTTTAAAATTTATTTAACAGTACTTTTTCTAATTGAGATGTTCTAATAATATATGGTTTAATTGGAGAATTAAGAACAATTGCATCACACGATTGACCACGAGAAGACCGTCATTCTCGTAACAATATAAATATACATATTTATAATATATCGTTTATTGTTAGTTAAACTTTAATAAATTTAATTGAGAAGGAAAAATCATGAATGAACTTATATGAAGTCATCTCACCAGCGTTAGATTTCTTTTTATTATTATTATTATTATTATTATTTATTTTGCGTGATTATTTGACTAACTTTTGAATAATTTGTAAATGTGATTATTTGTATATATTCGACTTATTTTTTAACCAGTTTTGAGATTTCAAAACATTTGAGTGAATAAATTAAACATCGATTCTTACAAAACAATGAAAACACAATTAAAGTGTCTAATGTCACACTTAGTTTGTATATAATATACATAAATATATTATCTCATTTTTTAGGTGAGTCCTAGCATAGTGTAAAGAGTAGTGTGAAGCGTGATAAATATTTGTACACTGATATTTATGTATTCTAAAGTTTTTGTATCTGATGTGATTTTTTAGTATCAAAGTAAAATTCATTCAACCCTTGAAATCATTATTAAATAAATCAAGTAAAATATGCATATTCTTACTGTGTTTATATGATCTATTTTTTTTACTTAATTTCACAACATTGTGATTTTTTTATAAAATAAATTATTGAATATTCAGATAACCGTCTAGTACTCGGTTAACAAAAATTTACTATTTTAATTTCTTGATAAAAAAACAATAGTAACTCATCTTTAGCTGTAAGTATTACATTATCAATAGCACCAAGTACCCAATAATTTACTCTTTTGGTGGTTGTACTGAAGATGACATTTTGGGATTTAATTTGTTAAATTTGGCCGTATATTTAACATAATACTGTGTGATCGATCAGACTTCATCTACTCAAAAATGACTTTTGAGGTAATTATTATAAATTAATCACTTATAAATAGAGATATCTTGCACAACATTCCCATTTATAACAAACTATATCCGTGGGAGGCTTCTTGTCAATCATATTCACCACACCAAAATGAAGGTATAATTTGGTCACGTAGGAATAACATGTACTTGTATTTCTGTGTAGGAAATTACTATTTCTGCAGTTCAAAAGGATTATATATATATATATATATATATATGTATCCTAAATTGAATTTTGCAATCATATGGTTTAATTATTTTTAACCCTTCTTACTTTACAACCTGGCTCCACCCCCGTGTCTAGGTGTAATTGGAGGTGTATCGACCTCTCTCTCTTTTATGTGTCTCTTTCATATATTATATAGGTTGACCGGACATGAAATGATGTCGGATTTTTTTCGGGCTAGCTCATCTTGACCCAAGTTCGGGATGGAACGAGTTCGGATTGAGCTTCTTGAACTTGCACATGTAGTAAGCAATATTGCTGTATACATTTGGCTTTGGTCACAAGTGATTTGAAAGAGAAGTAGAGAAAATCAATTAATAGTCCAAACTCACTAACATGCATATGGGGCGGACGAATACTAAATCTAACAAAGAAAGTGGGGGATGGAAGAAATGCAATAGAAGGTGTTGGTGCCTTTGTGATCATAAATTGGAGTTAACCAACCCCACGCTTTTCAAATCCATTTATTGTCACACTAAATTTCTATATGAGATGTGGGATTGAATGCATGAAAAACAATAAATCACTCAACATACGTGGCAGAAGTTTCCATAACCTTTGTCCGTACGTATATTCTCTATTCATTATACCAACCATATACCGAATATATCTCAAACTATCACATGGTTTCTATTTTGTATAATTAAAATATCATATGGTTGAGCAGTGGAATATTGTCATTTTCATTCACAAAATATAATAGTGTGTGTATATATATATATATATATATGAATATACGCGTTTGTTGCGTGTCCTTCTGGGAGGATTCTTTGGTGATGACTTTTGGGGCCTACCGGTATTTGACTAATCACAGTAGTACGTAAAGACTGCCTACGTTGATCGAGTCCATTTACGATGGGAACCATCACTATAAATAGAGGCCATAACTCGCACTCCATTCACATACTCGATCATAACACACCAACACATTCAAGTACCGCTCCACCGTTCTCAAACTCCATCTATTGCGTCTTTGTTTTTTTTTTTTGGTTCGTTCATCATATTCACCAAACAGGAGGGAGGATCAAAATGAAGGTATATATATAATTTTATTTATGTATGTGTATATCGGGAAATAGACTGCACTTGCAATGGATTTTATATGATTATAAAGCTAAATGTGATTTGGGTTTTTGATTGCAGCAAAAGCTAGTGATCAAAATGTCCTTGAATGGACAGAAGTCTCGTTCCAAAGCCATGAAGATAGTAGTGGGTATTTCAGGTAAATTTGGTTTCTTCTTTAAGCCAGCGTAACAGTTTTTTTGTTTAAAATTTTTGTACCAATCAGTAAAGCTTGTAGTTTTTCCAATTTTGCTTGGAATTTAGAAAATATACGTACGCATATTTATATATGTATGGCTAAAAGTATGTATGTTGTGCAGGAGTGGAGTCAGCAGCTTTACAGGGTGCGGACAAGAACCAGATAGAGGTAACCGGGGATGGGGTGGACGCGGTTGAGCTGACGACGGCGCTGAGAAAGAGCAAGAGCGTGGGGTATGCGGAGCTGGTAAGCGTCACTGCAGTTGGTGAGAAGAAGCCGGAAGAGAAGCAAAATGAGGTGCAGCCTCCCCTGATTTGGACCACTTCTTACCAATACCCGCCTTACCAAATGGTTTATCAATACCCCAACCAAGACCCCAATTGCTCTATTATGTGATTAATTGTTTGTAATGAAGAGCAATTTGTGTTGCTTTTTAGAGGATTTTGTATTTATAGGAGGAGATCGAGGAGGGAATAATACCACCTGATGATGCTTATTTGGGACATATATATATACTGTTTTTTTTGGCAGAAACAAACTAAGTTCGAATATTGGAATGGCAGTTTCAAACCCTGCAGAGCTGTGCTTGTTTGTTTTATGTACTACTATTAATTACTATTAATCTTTGAACACTTATATTAACTCTTTCTTATTGGTAAGTCAAATAAACATGACAATAAATATGGATTCTTCAAATCTAGAGACAAGGAAGAAAAATTACTCAAAATAATATGTCAATCAAAAAAATCATTTGAGAAAGATAAATAGTTAACAAAAAATTTTAAAAGAAAAGAAAAATGAGAGAATTTTGAAAGAGTAAAAAATTAGACTTTGATTCAAAAATGAATATTTGACCACCCCCCTCCTAGCCAACTTCATATATCGGTTAAAGCCTACAACCATGGAACCCACTATAAATCTATCTCCTCTAATTTTTTTTTTTTTTTCTATTTTTTCCCCTTCTTTTTTGTCCTCTCTCTTGGGGTGAAAATCATATTAGCCATGTATGATACTAGTTGAAAACGATATAGAAAAAAAAAAAAAAAATGGGGGATCATTTGAGTCACTGCATTTCATAAAGAGAATTACAGATTCGCTTATAAACTTTGAGCCTCAAAATCTGAAAGAGAGCGGAGAAGAAGAGAAAAATAAAGGGTTTTTTTTAAAAAAAATAATTACAGTAATTCAATATGTCATAGAGTACTAATAACTTATTTTTACGTGTCAATTTTGTGTGTGTATTGTGGTATGGCAGTTTCAAACCCTGCAGATCGAGCTGTGGTTCTTTGTTTTATGTACTACTATTACTTTTACGGGTTTACTTCAAAGCAAGCATGTTTTATTTTGTTAATCTTGCGCAAAGATAGAGAACAAGTGTTTGAACGTCTATATCAACACTTTCTTACCATTAAGTCCTTTAATTGGTCACTTGATTTGAAAGATAACAAACTGCAAATCAGAATATCATTACATATATGGATCATTTAAGAGTACTATCATCTTGAATTGGGCTCACCCATAGTGGACTCGGATCCACAGAATTTGCTGTATGTGAGACACAGCTAGTTTCCCTTCCCGGCCCAGTAAAGTCTCTTGAATGTCATAACAGCTGCAGCAGCCTCTTTCTGGCCGGGCATTATTGTTTGCAAGTAAGACAACATTTCCATAAGTAATGATACGCAATGGCCCCTTGCTCATTAGACCACTATGATGTTGAAATGATCATGAAAGTAGGCAATTCTATGAGACATGACCGTTTAAAAACAAGCTTAGAAATGATGATAATAGTCGTCAATTATATATAAAATTTTATCTGTGTAGGTCTTATGACTGATCATCGTCGAGCCCCACGTTGTCCAACAATAAAGCTAATTTTTTTGTCATTTTCATGACATGGGAACATTCGTCAAATGTAAATTGACACGGGCAGCCAAGCAATAAAAATAAACCTGTTATCATCTTCGTTTTCCTGAAAGCTTTAGAGGGGAACTTAAATTGACTCCCAACGTTGAATATCCAAAGTGAAAGGGAAAAAAGCAAGAGAGAGTACAGAGTGGGTCAAAAGTTGCAACGATGAAACAACAAAATTCTGCAGACTTCAGGCTACCCATATTTCCAACACGAACCCTCCAGAAAGATCCCAAATTACAAGATCTACGACTTCTGGGAAGAGACATGAACCTAAAAGAACTAGTTGCATCCATGATCCACCAGCAGCACTTCTGTTTATCATAACAAGAAACAATAGTGGGGTGATCTCAATCTTTTTGGTTCAGCAACAAACCATTCCAAAATGAGTAATCATAACCAAATGCCCAATAATTACCAGCATGCAAGTTCAAAGAAAATTGTCGGCATTTCATTAAGTTAAAACCACGAGGTAGAACATTGACCACCGGAAACAAAAAATAATAACCATCATATGAAACCAACAGGACCAAGAAAACAACCAAAAACAAGTTATTTTTTGCACAGAGAAACCAAATAGGGCACAAAATAATCTGCTGCAACATGTCCCACACACAGCTAGCTCATTTGTTTGCATGTCAAGTCCCTGCAAGATGACATGATCAGGAGTGACTAAATAATCTGGGATTGAAATAGTTTGAAGAGCTACAATATTTTAAATTACTCACCTTCTGTAGCTACATAGTCCAGTGGAGTATTTAGACCCATGCCTTCAGATTCCGGAGCACCATTTACGGATTTTGTCTGTAAGGCTGACTGCGGCTGAGCTTTGGGTACAGCTTCCTGGCCAGCAAATTGAGCGCTGGCTTCTGACACTTGAGGGTTGGGATCTTGTTTCAATCCAGAACCTGTAAATGTTGCAGCAGGTGCTCCATTATGAGCTTGAGGAGGCATATAAGCCCCTGGAGGAGGATATGAGCCCTGATGACCATAAAAAGCTTGTTGAGGACCTTGAGGAAGTAATAAACTTTGCGCGATAGGGTTAGGAGGGTAAAGAGCCTGAAGCCCCATTGGCCCATACATAGCTTGGTGACCTTCAAATCGTTTGAGCTTAGAAATGTGTTTTTTACCAGCGAGATGGCGGTCAAAAACCTCCTGTGTATCACACTTGACATTGCACAAGTCACAGATCAAGGGAATCACCACTTTAGGTTTAGGAGGTTCAACTGGCCACCTTGGTGTATCAGAAGTTTTCATGCGCTTCCCTCCACGGCCACCTCTCATCTTCCGTTTCATTCCACGCCTCTGATTGTCAAAGCGATTCATCGAAGGCCTCCTTGCTTGGACATTGGACTGTTCATTCTCCACTTTATTTTCATCGGTAACACCTCCATTTGGTAAATTTGCTGGCAGAGTCTCCTTGTTCTCTTCACCCTCCCGGACATTTTCTGGCTGCAAAGTCGCTTCAGGATTCAAATCAGAAACAGGTTTTTGCTCATTCTCAGTGACAGGTTTGCTAGCACTTTTCAACTCTTCAAACCTTTGCAAATTCTTTTTGTGTCGCTTTCCATTCTTGTGCTGCTCAAGGATTTCCAAGCTAGTGCAATCAACCCTACATAATTCACACCATGCAACTTGTGGATGTGGCCGGTTAGGAACTGCACTTCCCTGCACCAGTGCAGATGTCTCAGTAGGTACTGCATCTTGGAGTTCCTCTTCATGATTATCAGCTGAAGGTTCTGCCTCTTCTGTTAATTCTTCCTCTTCAGCTGAAGGTTCTGGATTGGAAGATGACGTTGCATCATGTGGTGCAGAGCCCCTAGGACCACCCCTGCCCCGACCACGTCCTTTCCCACGGAATGGTGGCCCTAAGCCACCTGACCTGGGAGGGCGATTGCCAAAATTTCCCCGGCCACCACCTCTAAATTGCCCACCACCCCTTCTACCGCCACCCCTGTATGGAGACCGACCAACCTGCAGAGTAGGTCTCAAAAGGGTTCTCATGATTTTAAAATTTGGAGCAAACATAAACATTCTTGCTAGTTGTTGAGGGAAAAGATATAAAACAAAAGAAGAAATTCTGGGGAAGATCACTGATAAAAAAAAAATACATATGGGGAAGATCAAGGCAGCCTAGTTACCTATATCACGAACACATTAAAAACACCACTTTCAGCTTCACCCTAAAATGTTGTTGTAATTTATTTAAGCTTTTAAAGAGACCTCTATCTGCATTGCCAAGTAGTTGATTTATCACGGGCAGACAGTACTTGTATCAAGCATTTGCCCATGATGTGTTATTTCACTTCATATGGAGCAAAAAAAGAAATGATGTTAGAAAGTACCATTGAGAAAGAGAGAATGTAATGGATAAAAGTAAATGTTGCAAGGGAGACCTAACATTCTGTGCATGAGAAAAATCTTCATGCTGTCTTTTTCTCACGTAGTCTTGCTACAGGTTCCGTCACCTTAGCTGGCAGACCTCTTCCAAAATCCACAGAAAATGGATACCCAATTTGAGTCTTTTCCACAATTATATGAGATCAATGAGGTGAACTAGGGCAACTTGTCGGGTTAAGGGCAACAGGGCCCAACTCAAGGAACAAAACTTTAACCCAAGCCTGAGACCGAGCCCTAACCCGACCTCAACCCGAACATATTTTTGTAAACTCAGGTTAGGGTCAAGATTGTAGTGTTATGTTTAGGTTGATCAGGTTAATCTTGAGTTAGTGGGGTTAAACTCAGGTAAAACTCATGTTATAAATACTTCAATAAAAATAGATTACTAATTTAGTTATAGGCCGGATTAAGGTTGGGCTAGGGTTACTTGACGCATCTGCCCAAGCTCAAACAAAATTGAAGTCACATTGAAAAAATTCAACTCAAGCCCAACCCGAGCAACAAAAAAAGCTGCGCAAGCCAGTGGAAAGATCGGGTTGTGCTTGGGCTGGATTCGTGTTGGCTCACCCAAATTGTACCCCTAGCAATCAATCCACAATATGTATGTAGATGAATTGTTTTTAATAACCTCACATCAACCTCTCATGAAAATCTTTGGACACCAAGGGCAACATATTCCTTGCTTAGAACAGAATAGTAGTAATATTAAACAAATCATTTGTCCCAAGTCCCAACTACTCAAGATTCATGATAAAATAAATGAGACATGTTCCCTGTTCAAAGTTTATGTCCGTTCAGGTCCTGTTGGAGATATTAAGTTGTCTATTAGCCACTAGCAACCCTCCCCTCTCTCCCAAGGCTTGGGACCCACATCGTGCATGAGATAGATGGAGTACTTAGAATATAATAATTACCTCCAACAAAAAGAATTATATAAATAAAGAGATGGCAATCAGTGACCACTGAACTCATTTCAAATGCTACAAGGAACAAAATAGACACATTTTCAAATTTCCGGTGAATCAACTAGGATTGACTATGTAACTATGCATTGTCCAAAGGGAGACCAAAATCAGAGCATCATGAAGAAAGTGGTTGGATTTATTCTCATCAAAAGGAAGTGACTACAAATGCTAACCTTAAAGCATTGTGGAAACAAAATGAAAAGATCTTTCACTAAATTTACATCAACTGTAAACAACACCTATATATAATGCCATTTTCCCATTGTGACGTATCATAGTGGTTAAAGCTACATCATCAATGATGTATTCAGAAAATAGCTTCAAAATCCAGGCGCTATTTTTGTCAAAGCTATAGAAGAATGAAATTTGTCGAAAACAAAATTTAAGGTCCCTTTTGGTTCTTGGAAAGAACAAGAGAAGAGAAAATGACATGCTTAAAAATAGCTGCCTTGTAGAATATTTTCAAGAATTTTCTTAAACCTAATTATTTTCAATGCCCTTGCAAAGCCAACTGCTCGAAATTAAAGAAAGCAAACTCCTTTAAGCAGGGACGAAATGTTCTCTGTATGCTGGCTATTTTGGTCAAAGCTAGAGAAGATTGAAATTTGGCCAAAACAAAATGTCAAACTCCCTTTTGGTAACAATGCAAAAGAAACAAGAAGCTTAAAAATGATCGTAAATGACTGCCTTGTAGAGTGTTTTCAAGAATTCTCACTCCTAATTCTTTTAATGTACTTATAAAGCTAGCTGCTCAAAATAAGGAAAGCAGATTCCTTCAGAGCACAAACCGTCTGTAGGTACACGATTTCATTATTTGAATAGTAACAACAAAAACACTTCACAATGGGAGAATCTGGAGGCATTTGCTAGACGAGCATTAAGAAGTTTTGCTCGACAGTGATAGAAAAATTTACGAGTCGTCATTGACTACATGAAAACACGGGTTGTTAGAAAAGAAGATATGTGCAAGTCAAATACTCCCTCCGTCTCAAATTAAAAGTTCCCTTTGGGAACTGTGACTCACAAAGGGGACTTAATTTGAGACAGAGGGAGTAAAATTTAGACTTATTTCAGGTAGAACTCAATGAAGGCTCGTGTCCTACAGGTCCAAACCCCAAACGGAAGAGTAACTTGTGTTAGGACAGCTAGCATAAAACTTCTGGTCAAATTTATAGTAGCAGGAATCACTACTTATAAAAAAATAAAAAATAAATAAAAATAGTAGCAGGAACCATAAAAGAGGTTCGTTTAGCCAAAGCCTAACTAAAGGGACAATACTTGCCTACTCACCGGTGAGTAGGAACCTCATCCTCACCACAGATGTGGCACAATTATAGAATGATATATGTCAATTTTGAATTAAAAAAATAAGAGCGGGAAAAGTAAGATTATATTTTATTTTCTTCTTTTACATATTTTACATTCAAAATGGATAGTGTAATTTAATCATCGTGCCACATCGGTGGTGAGGACAAGGTTTACTCACCAGCGAGTAGGCAGGTACTTTTCTAAATAAAATGGAGTTAATAATGCTTAATTGTATTAGCTGAGCCGACTCTCTGTTTTAAATTAGAAATACTAAATTTATATATAAATAAAAACTTCATAATTTTGTTTAAGGAGTCAGTTAGGCCCATCAAAGTTTCAAAATCGAGTAAGTTGACTCAAGGGTACAAACCTTTAGTGTCATTTTATCATCGGTGGTGAGGACAACGTTTACTCACCAGCGAGTAGGCAGGTACTTTTCTAAATAAAATGGAGTTAATAATGCTTTATTGTATTAGCTGAGCCGACTCTCTGTTTTAAATTAGAAATACTAAATTTATATATAAATAAAAACTTCATAATTTTGTTTAAGGAGTCAGTGAGGCCCATCAAAGTTTCAAAATCAAGTAAGTTGACTCAAGGGTACAAACCTTTAGAATGCCCTACCCACCATGACCAGAATGAAAAGATAACACTCACAAGTCACAACGTTAACAACGTTTCAACTACATTCCTTCATTTATACATGGAAAATAAACATGCAGAGAATTTAAAGGCCATACCTATAGCTTTTGCAAGAAATCCAATGGCAACGAGAATCCAAAAACATGTGAGGGCATTGTCGAACAAAAAAGACGGGGCGCCTGATTCAAATTCTCCTAGTAGGAAAATCACATAGTTTAGCAACTCCGTTGTCCTAATTGAATTTATTGTTCTACCAATCTATTAGAATTTCAGCTAATGAAAAGGAAACGTCACGACTAGGGCTGAAGTCATGGTGGGCTCACACACAACATGATTCCTCAGAAATTCAACGAGCTCAAGCTCAGTTGGCTCATTTCAACTGTTCTGTATTACTTGCCTAAATTCAAGGTTCAAGAATTATGTACGTGTAGAGTCTAAATAAAACAAACCTGGTACTGGGTAAACCCTAAGGTAATAAAATAATGCAGGAATTTAATCTAACAAATCTTCCAACTGAAAATGGCAAGCATTGAGTCTCAGGTTCAATCCTTGTGCCTACATTTTTTTTTTTTTTTTTGGGTGACAGGACAAGAGTTCTTGAGCTTTTACAGTTACGTTGAGAGACTAACCAAGTACCACCTAGCCTACGAGGCAGGTGTAATCATCAAGCCTACATTTTGGCCGAGATTCACCCCAATAATGAGCCAACCTCACTTTGCTTGTATATAGCCCTAGTCGTGAGCGTCAACAAAACTAACTTTGCTTATTATATAGTGCCCTAGCCGTGAGCGTCCACAAATTCTATCCAACACAGAAAATAATGGAAACCATCTTCTACTTTCATTCCAAGGAAAATGTCCAAATTTGTTCCTTGTCAAATTAAGTTGTGGGCCATACAAAATATAAATCATCATATAGGTCCCAAGAATTATAGATCATCAAAAAATGAAGGCATTGAGCTGTGCTTTCAGAGCATGTCCCAGTAGAAAATTTTGAAAACACGTCCCAATATGCATTCTAAAACACTGTTCAAAAGTGTTTGATTCCCAAGCATGCCACTAACCTAATTGATGTTTTGGCTCAGCAACTTCCTTTCCTCAAGCTCAAAGAACTTGCCTTCTATTATTCTTTGACAAATGTAATTTATTTTTCTCCATTGTTCTGTTTGCTTCTAAAGGAAAATGAAAAGGACAGGAAATGACTACTGAAAGAATGACAGGACCAACCATGTTTCTCCACATCCTCAACGCATCTTGCTCCAGACGGTTGGCAGCACGAAGGCATTAGATCTTGCACACCTCAAAAACTCTCAAATAGAAACCTGAACAATCATCCAAGTAAAAGAAAAAGAACAAAACACGTTGCTCAAATAAAAAACTTTAAGTTGGTCTCCAAAAAACCATGAGATATAAAAATCGAGTTGAAAGGTTCTTATAAGCTATAGCATTAATTTGACTTATCAAAAAAAAGCTATAGCATAATTTGTCTTCCAGATGGATGGAGTCAACTGAAGCAATGAAAATGATTAGAATGCCTACCTCAACTGTGAGGCATACATATGGTTTAGTAAATAAGGCCAGATAATTTAGGAAAGAAATACCATGAAAGTGGCTCAATAACATAGAAGGATAAGGTTCTTCCAGATCAAATGATGACTATCAAACTCACCATGAGTCAACAAAAATATTAACCCACGGAAGATATGGAAAGAGAGGCATCACTTGATCTAAAGGAGAACGATGATCTTTAAATGAAACAGACAGATGATGCTAAGAATTCTGATAATATTCCTCAATGGAATGCCACCCATGGATTTTGATACACTTCTCAAGTGTATTAGAATATCTGATTATATATAATCACGAAAGCATTACAAAAAAATTCTTAGAAAGAGTACCAAGCCAATACGGTCCATAGAAAGATCAGCAGAAACAGCAGTATACACCTAAGAACATTTTATTCTTAATAGTGGTAAAGGATACGATCAATTAAGAATAAAATTCTTCAGTTGATTGTATGAATAACAAGAACCAAATTACTAAAATATTGATTATACATGTTCGATAAACAGAAGGGGTTGATTTATGAATCTTTTTGCATTTGGTTGTCTTCTCCATTCCAATGTGAGAGTTATTTTCTAGTCGTTGGTTAGGTTTTCATGCTCCCGGACTGTGAGGAGTTTTTGCCTACAGATTTTTCTATGGGCTCGCTGTCATCTTCGTTTGGGCATGTAAGCTTCATTGAAGATTCTATTTATTTATTTATTTTTGGATTAATAAAACTAAATTCCCCTACTGCAAAAATAGATGTACAGAATACAGGATTTTAATTTAACATAAATATAAGTAGTTTAATTAAACAACATTAAAAGAAGAAAGAATGTTTACTTACTGAGCAAAACATGCAAAATCAGAGAGATCATTCACATCAAAGAAGCCACACAGCTAATTATAAATAACCAGCTCAAAGCTATAAAACAACCATTATTAAGTGAAAGCTCCAATTACACAAGTTTACAGAAAATGACTGATTTGATCAAGAACAACCTACCGGCGGATGCATTGGCCCCCGTCCATGATGCATCGGCCCAGGCCCCATCATCGGCCCCGGATCCATCTTCATCCCATATCCCCCACCTCTTCCGTGCCACTGCCGCTCCTGAAACCCCGCCATCGCCCTCTCCGCGGCATCCATAGTCCCAGCAAATTGAGTCAATTGCGACAATGCTGCCACGGCAGCTGCAGCGGCCGCATTCAGTCCGACCGGAACTGGGTATCCCGAAATCTGCTGCTCCCCAACCGGCGGCGCTTGTTGCGGATAATAAGCACTCTGCTGGTGCTGCACCTGAACTTGCCCCTGCCCTGAAACCGCCGCTGCGCCACCAGATTCACCGGATTGGGGCGGCGCTTCGTGCGGAATTGAAACCCCCGGAGGATGAACCGGTGCCAATTCGGGCTGTGAATAATGTTGATGTTGTGGCTGTTGCTGATACTCATTGGTGGAATCGGATTGGTAATAGGCGTATTGTTGTTGCGATTGCGGTGGTTGTGGTTGCGAGTGTTGTGATTGTTGTGGGTCTTGGTATTGGTAATATGGATAATAAGATTGATCATAGGATTGAACAACCTGAGATGGATCATAGGACTGTGAAGCATAGTTTTGAATTTGCTGCTGCTGTTGTTGTTGTTGGGCTTGTTCCTGTTGTTGTTGTTGGCGTTGGTGTTCCAGAAATTGTTGTTGGAGCTGTTGGAGCTGTTGTTGCTGAGCTTCTGTGAGAGATGAGAAATCCATAATTGTTCTTGCTGATTGGTCAGCTTTTCATGGAAATTAGGGTTTTGATGTGTTGTTTTGAGTCGCTCTCCCCATTTGGGGGTGAGAATAGAAGGGTTGTGCGTGTGAATCGAGATTGGGTATTTATAGTAGAATCTGAATTGACTCTATTGTGCCTCACACGTGCTTACCCCTGATTTGTAGAAAAATCTTCTAGAAGTAGAACCTACACACTGGAATTTTGCAGTCCACAAAATTGAAATTTCCTTTAAATAACTTGGTAACAAAGACCAAAATGAAAACAAAAAATTTAAAATTATTTTTCAAATGAAAACAAAAAATTTAAAATTATTTTTCAAATGAAAACAAAGTAATAACTGTGCCAACCTAATTGCACTTAAAGTTGTTAACCCAGCCCAATTTATGATAATTTAACCACTTTTAATAAAGGTGGTTTTTTTAATGAATGTATTGTGATGTGTGAAAATAATAATAATAATAATTTTGCCAAATGCTATAGTCTAATACAAATTATACATGTAAGGTCAAAACTATTGTAAAGTTCTTTCCTTTTTTTGGTAATAATTTTAATCCAATAAGATGAGATTAAATATCAATACAATTCATTTACGTTTTCTCTTCTACAAATTTTATATGAAAGAATAAAAAACATTAAAAAAATAAAAAATGCATCGAAAACATAAACAAATAAAAAATAGTCTCTTTTCTCTTCATAACGTACTACTGGACAAGGTGTATGTATAGGGTGAGTTGAGCATGCTACATCGTTATATATTCAGCCAATGAAAATCTAATGAATAAGTTTATGCGAAACTATTTTGGACAATTTTTTTCAAGTGCTGGGATCCATTTTTCATTAATTGGACATACGAATAACACGGCATGTTCATTCACCTGATATATTCTCCTGACAAGGTTATGTGAACCGAATCATTTGTCTGTGGCTTAACCCAATATAGCTAAATGTATGACCAAATACCCAAATGGCATCAATATCAAGTAAAACTTTTGACGGATTAATCACTAAGCTATAGTCCCCTTCAATCATCATTTATGTTAAACTCTCATGTCAGGGTTGGCCCTGAGAATTCTAAAAATTGAGAGTCATAAACAAACTTTCAAATGCAAAACCTTTATATACAAGGTTTCACCTGCACAAAAAATTTGTAAGAGTGTAAAATTTTCATTAAAATAAGACCATAAGGCAGCTTAAAATAATTTAAGGCCTTAAGCGAAATTTTATTTTTTTGTCATTTTAATAGTATATTAATATTAAATAATATTTATTTAAAAAATATCATTCTTACTTTGTGAAATGTAAAATTATTAATTAGATTCTTGTATTTAAGTTTGGTTAAAATATATAAATATTTGAAATACGTACATATATATATATATATATATATATATACATATATATATATGCACAAAAATTTATAATAACAAAAGTTAGTAAATAATTAAAGAATAAAAACTTATTAGAAAACTCTAATCCAATGCTCCTACAAATTTTTCAATAGAATAAAATGGGTTCCTACAAATTCTTCAATAGAATAAAATGGGTTCAAATTGATAGTAATGTGAATTGAGGGAAGAAAAAGAACTATAAACTTGTAATGAAAGATGAGAGAGACGACTTGTTGAGAGAGGAGGGAAAGTATATGAAGAATAAGAAAATAAATAAATAAAAGTTAGAAAAAGAATATGAAAATTTTCACCACTTTCCCCAACAACGGTTGAATACATATTTAATATTTATAGCATGTATAACTTACCGAAAAATGAAAAAATTAGTGTTGTTGTAAAAAATGCCAATAAGAGGGAAAAAAAAATTATTTAAGAATATAAATCTTTAGGACCAATATTAAGATTCAGTACGAGGGAAAGGACCAATATTAAGATTCAATACGGGGAAGAGAGAGGGAGAGATATAAATCTTAGGAGCCCAAAATTTCTAGATTGGTTATAGTTTAATAAAAAAACTTGAAGGAGGAGGAGAAATTAAATAGAGAAAATAAAAAGTTATCTTAAGATATAAAATTTTGAGATCCAATATTAAATTTCCATATTGATTAGCTTTTAATAATATTAAGAAATAATTATAATATAACGTATATAAGAAAATTTAAAATTTTGAGACCCTTTCAAATTGGAAACTTTAGACGGCACTTTGGGTAGTCATGTAATTAATAGTTAGAGGGTTATTGAGATACCCTCCGGATCCGACACACGGGTTGATCAGGCCCAGGCCCAAACCCGAGGGAATATCAAACAATTAATATTTTATAATGAACACGGAATACAAAATAAATTAAGAAATGAAATTAAAGCTGGAGAAACTAAAAATAGAATCCGCAAAATATTATAATTATTAAAATCCATCAAACCCAAACTCCAAAACTCCATCAGTTTACAACTTGGGAATCCATCTCTAGTGGACCCCTATTAAACATCCAAACGGAAGATAGAATAACTGTAATAAACGTCCAGAAATAAAACTATAGAGAGAGCCCTACATCGTCGGAAGAGTGAATAGAGACCTCTGCTCAGCACGAACACGTCTAAGTCTGGAACTGTCGTGTACTTGAAAAATAGAGGTGGGTCAGGCCCACGCGCAAGTTCTATACTACTACAATCCAAATAGAGGCCCGATACGCATGTACATCCTAAACAATTCAACAATAGCTAATAGTCCGTAAATATATATATATAGTCACACTAAAGGACTCTCACTGGACTACAGGCCGGTCTCAACCTGAATAGAGGTAACATGCTAAAACGCACACGAAGTGGGCATATGTACCTATACCTAAACAGGGTACACATCCAACCATCGTAGCCAGCTACACATCCCAATGCATATACGCTCCCTATCCATCGGTCCTGAGGCTCAAGCTCATACCGAGGCACCATAACAGTACATATATAAAATCCATCCAAAATCCCTGGTATTGCCGCTCAACAAGTAGTTGCCATGACAATACAAATCCACGGGACTTAACTTTTAGTTAATCCCATCCTTATTCCAAGTAGGTGGGTAATGGTATTGTTTTAAAAACCAAACACATCCTTAGTATGCCACCGTCCCATACCGGTGCCTACTTTCCAATCCTCCAGTAGTCAATAATACCAATAAATCAAGTATATATCAACTAAATTCCAACATCCAACATTCAATGTTAGCAGTGATAAAGTAAGCATTGATAAACAGGGTCACAATAACAACATATACATGCCCAATTTAAGTTGTTCCCTTTAGTCTGATATAAAGACAGAATTAATTAAAACTTCTATTTAACACCTTACAAATGACATTCAGATATGTAGGGTATGTATCACAAAATCCTAACCTCCACAGTTGATACTAACTGTGATAATGTAAGCATCAAAACAATATTCACAGTATGTATGTAGATATGCTCAAATTATAGTGTTCCACAAAACCAATTTAGTGTTAAACTCAAATCCTCCTAGTATTTAAGTTCCAACAGTTGCTATTACAGAAGTTAAGATAGCTATCATCTAGACCCATCCTTCCAATAATTTATACTAGCAGTGGTAAGGAAAAACGTGAACCACAGAACCACAATGCATCCACAAACATACTTAGTCTAGGTTGAACAAGCATACAACACTACTGTAACTACCAGTTTCATAGCAAAACAGATATCATTTTAGTTTGGTTTAATCTTCATTAATCCTGAAATCATTTAAGAGTGCAAAGAGTATGAAGCCTAAGGGAAAGAGTAAGGATAGATTCTTGCCTCAGAAACTTTTGTTCAAAGTTTCAACGTCGTCTTCTTAAAAAATCCCGGCGAGTTCCAAAATCCGGTTACTGTTCACGGGTACGAAACACTATTCCCGAACTCAAAATCTGATCTCCACTGTTCAGATTGTGCGACATTGAGTCATGAACCTATCCTCCAAATTTCAGCTCGATCGGACCACGGACGAAGTGGGATCGGATGTTTGATGAAATCTGGGCAGAATGGAAAAAACCTGTGCGACCCAGTTACTGTTCACGAGTACAAATCACTGTTCCCGAGGTCAAACTCTGATCTCCACCGTTAGATTGTGCGTCACTGAGTCGTGAACCTCTCCTCCAAAATTCAACTCAATCGGACCACGGACGAAGCGGGATCGGATGTTTGATGAAATCTGGGCAGAATGTGAAAAACTGCGTTTTTCCTTCTCACTTCCACAAAACGTGTGCTTTGTTTAAAAAAACCCCTACACAGACGTCTACCTTATACTTATAGAGTTTTCCTAAACCCTAGGTTCATTTAAGTCCAACTCACAATCCTAACCGGCCCATCCAATTAACGTAGAAACCTACGACCGTTATAATATAAAACCCTAATTTATATTGTAATTAAAACCCTAGTTAGATGTATTTACCTAATTACCCTATTCACCATTAAATACTTAACAAATAATCTAATTGAACAAAATAATAATTAATAAACCCAATTAAACCAAATAAGACACACATAAAATAAGACACACATCGAATAATTAAACCAATTACACTTAAACCATTAATGCCAATTAAATAATTAAAACACTAACAAGTAATTCCAATCAAATAACTAAACCAATTACACTTAAACCATTAATGCCACTTAAATAATTAAAACACTAACAAGTAATTCCAATCAAATAACTAAAAATAAATATCATTTAAATAAATTAAATTACCACAAAAGAAATAAATTAAATCACCACAAAAGAAAACAATTAAGCACCTAATAAAAAAAATAATGACACATAATCAAATAAAATGCACTTAAATAATAAATTAAATACCATTAAATACCAGGAATATCCTTTTTAAAATTAGGGGTATTACATTCTTCCCCCCTAACAAAAGGAATTCCGTCCTCGGAATTCACTCTTACCTTCTTCCAATATTTCAGGAAACTGTGAGCGAATGACATCCTCTCGTTCCCAAGTGGACTCAGACTCATTGTGACGACTCCACTGAACACGAACCAAAGGAATAACCTTATTACGAAGAATCTGATCTCGTCGGTCGACAATACGACACGGTGGCTCTAAATAAGTTGCATCCGGCTGCAACGCAATCTCCCCAACA